ATGCTACATTGTGTAACATCAATAAGATTCATGATTTTTTAGTGTTATTTTAGACCATCGACTTTACTCTGAGTTGTAAAATGAAATGAATTTATATTTTCAATGAAAGTGCTTAGTAATTAAATATATAAAAAAAAGAAATACCATCTTGTTTCAAATCAAGAGTTTATTTTCACTAGAAATTACAAATTGTAATTAATATTGGGCGGCGGTTATATGCAAGTCCATTTTTTTTATTAGTTCAAGACCTCCAACATAAAAATACTAATTTACCCTTAATGAAATTTAAAACCAAATAAAAAACATAAAACATTAAAAAAAAAAAAAATCATTTCATTTGTACAAGACCAAATAATATACATAAACTCAGAAACCCCTCTTCATTGTTTCTCGACTTAAAAATCTCCTCCTTCTTCTTCTTCTACTTCACAAACCCACCAAGAAACCCTACACACCAAAATTATCAAATACACACCAAACATTCACGATGGAACCAGAAAACAATGATATGGTGGGTTACGAGGGTGGAGAACACAATGAAGTATGTTTTAACCGTTTATTTTTGCTTGTGGGTCATTTTTTTTGTTAGGAAAAAAATTCGACGATACCAAAAATCGGTCTGTAAATACCGATTTTTGTTGCTAAAGTCGGTAACCACATTCCGATTTTTTAATAAAAGTCGGTACTTAAAAACCGATTTTTGTAGTACAAATCGGTATGACAACACCGATTTATTTTTGTATTATCGGTATTATCATGCCGACTTGTACTACAAAAATCGGTTTTTAAGTACCGATTTTATTATTTGTGTTTTTTTTAAAGACCGTTTTCCCATACTTTCGTGCTGCAACCTAGGGGACTGATGGAGGATTATTCAAATAAATTATCTAACGAACAAATATTTGAGACACCGGAAGCTGTACTCGATTGGGTTAAAGGAGTTGGTAGACGCCACGGAATGGTGTTAAACATTTTCGTTTCAAATACGGGATTGAAAGGGCGTATAAGACTGTATGTTGTACTCGCGTGTGAGTGTGCGGGTGAATATCGTGGGAAGAAGAAAGCCGGCGAGGATGACCAAGGAGAGGGAAAGAGGAGGACGGATTCTAAAAAATGTAATTGCACATTTTGATTAAAGGAACAAAAAAAGGAAAGGATACCGATAATGTTGGGTGGGAGTTAAAATGAATTGTCCAATACCTCATATGGCGGATTATTGACGACGGTACCATGATGAAAAAGCGGATAGTTGGAACACTTCCGGTATAAAATCAAGGATTACAATGTTTAGGAAGTTAGTTGGTCAAGAAGTACCAAGAAACCTTCATAGATTTAACATATGTAAAAAGATTTTTCGTGAAACAATGTAATTAATGTACAATATTTTAAGATTATTGGTAGCCTTTATTATTATTATGCATTACTTACAATTGCTCGTAACATATATATTTATGTTTAATACTGTTGGGAAAATTGGTTAAAAATTGAGTCATGAACAATTTTTTATCAATGTTATTGTACGGTCTAATTGAGTATATAAATGAATTTTGGATTAGAACCAATTTTGTGGTGAATGAAAAAATTACTAGTCCAAAATATAAGGAAAGTGGGATTTTGAGTTATCTCACATTGGAAAAGTAGAGAAGTAATGAGCTGTATATATATCAATATATTGGGACAAAGGGTCACGCCCTTTGGGCATTCAACTTTGTTAGGGAGAAAGGCCTATATGTTATGTGTTTCAAATCGTGCCCGCGCGCGCCGTCTGACCGGCCGGCCGGCTCGGCTCGTTCGTACGGATCGGATTTGGATTTGGGCTCGGGCCCAAATCACTACATTAATTTTTTGGGCCAAAAACATTAGGTCATGTGGGCTTTTAACCCATTGGGCCCTTATTACTTGAAGCCCATCTCGATTGGTCTGACTGGTCAGAATTGGTGCGGCCGAACCAATGCAAACCATTCGGCTCAACTCGAAATGGTGCAACCACTCCCAATTGACTCAATTCGAAATGGTGCAACCATTCAATCAAAAGGTACATTTTTGCTCCAAAGGACACTACTTTTCGAACCTTATAAATAGACCCAACTTTCCCAAAATTCCTCACTTCAATCCAAAACAAGCCTACTACATATTAAGCCTACCCTTCACAGATTCTCTCGAAAAGTTCTACACAAAGTACAGTTCGTCGTACTTGGGATTTGGAGTGCTCCTATTCCGAGTTTTGCCGTTGTATCTTGGGAGACGATTTCCATTTAATCCGTTAGCACCGTTGCGGGGAAATTTCTTCTTAAGGACAGAGTCAACTCGCCTTGGCTAATCTTTTCGTATTTTCACTAATTAATTTGTCAACCAATTTACTAAATTCACTACCCGTTTTATGTATCGGGATCAACAAATACCTCTAAAGTTGTATTATAAGATCCAAACACCTAAGGATAGTCTGTATTACGAGTTGGAAAAAAAATCCAAAAAGCGAAAAACTGTGAAATATAGGTACTGAAGAAGGACCTTCATTGCATCGACCGAGAGGATTAAAAGGGGCACGCTTTTTTTGGCTTTTTCACCTTGCTCTTTTGAGCATTTTCCTTTCGATTATGGTTTGAAAACGGTCGGGGGTACACGAGAAGGTTGAGGTTCCACTGCAAAACATTTAAAAAATATCAATTAACCAAATATATAATGTATTATTAAAAAAAAATCCGAAAAATATCGGTATCCGATAACCGATTTTGTACTCAATAATCGACATTAGAACGCCGATTTTGACTTGTAAAATCGACGTTGTGTCGCCGGTTTGGTTAACAAAAATCGGCATTATGACGCCGATTATCGTGTACAAAATCGGTCTGGGTAAACCGATTTGGGAAACCAACGAAAAAAAATCAATTTCAGTCTCAATTTTTTTTCAAAAATCGGCCAAAACATTGCAACCCAACAAGAAATAAGCATAGATTAATGTTCATTCATACATATTTATCAAGAATCGATGCTCAATTAATGTTTTCGAATTTACAAACAAAAGTTTAGTAAAAAAGACTTACTTGTTGGTGGTGGTGCAGTGGTGGTAATGGTGCGGTGGGTGGATCGCTGGTCATCGCCGATGCGGTGGAAGTCTCGCTGGTCGGCGTTGCGGCGGTCTGGCGGCGGCAGTCATGATATTTTCTTTTTGTCTTTCTTTTTTGATTTTATGATTTTTTGATCATAAACAAATTAAAAATAGGATTTATTTGTATTTGACTATTATTTGTGGATAACAGTATATTTGTTCTGCTTTGATCTTAATGTGATAAATTTAGATTAATTGGCGGACTTGAACTAATAAACTTATTTATGTGGATTTAAGCTAATGAAGAAATGAGTTTACATATATCCGCCGCCTTAATATTTTTCTAAATCGAATAGGCATGAGAATTGCCGGAGAAGGGAAGGGGTATAACTGGAAATCTGGCATCTACTTATGTGAAATGGCGGGACATTACGTGGCAGCTTGTCAACCGATGGCTGGTCATTGTCCATTCGTGTTCACTGTTCACTACACCCTTGGCCTTGGGACTTCTTATCCATATTAATTATTTTATATTTTCTTTTACTGAAATGTTAAATCTCACGTTAATTTTGCAAAATCATGAACATAATTAAAAATATTTATTTCTCTAAAATCTTTTTTTCTCCCTCTCCACCTTTCTTCTTTTTCCATAACATTTTTCATAAAGTCATACACTAAAAACGTCATTGGCATTCCAGGTTCGAATTTGACAAAAATTTTCACATGTTCAAACTAAAATAAAGTTGGAATTGGAAAAAATTCGAATTGATATGAATTTGAATAATTAGGCTTAATGAAATTGAATAAGTATTAAATAGAGCTGAAATCAGTATTTATGATTATTCACGTAAAAAAATAATGAATTTTGAGTGATATGGATAAAATCATTTTAGAGAGAATATGAGTAGAGAGAGAATTCTTTATAAGTTATGTGTGTGATTTAGTAAACTTTAGTGTGGGATTTAGCACGCGCTCCTTTGTTTTATTGTGGTTCAATTTTTGAAGTAAATATATGATTCTGTGAAATTATACACTAGTAAATATATGAATTCGTAGATGTTACACCCGATGAGATACATTGTGTGATTCTACACTATTAATTTACATATAGAAATACCATATATGTATGTGTGTTTGATGGTTGGTTATTTGTCTGAATCTACAATGCAAAACCACAGTATTTTTTTCCCCAGGTATAACAATTGTAATATTGTAGTTTAGGATAACTTGAATACATACACCGATACACATATACTAGTGGATATTACTAGTGAAAATTAACTTGAATTATAACAAACAATATTCATAACATGAAAATAGCATTTTCTTAGAAATATAGTTTCAATTAAAACAATGTTCTAACACCACTAATATTGTATAATTTCGAGTCTCTATTTAAAATAGGTTTTGGATATTTTGGATGGAAACGCATTACTATTTTTTTATTATTACCAGAGACGTCCTCAAAATTTTAAAATATTTATAAAATAGTCCCCAAACATTTTCGACATATGTCAACAAGTTTCGGTTTCCAAAACATGAAAAAGCGTATGAACAATAGTTTCTGCCCACCATAAATATAGATTTGAAACTTAATTAATCAAAAAAAGCCAATAAAGTCTTACATATATACAAATTTGTTTTTATTAAATTTGTCACATTAACAAATGCAGTAGAACCTCGATAAATTAATAACTTCAATTAAATAATAATTTATTTCGACCCCAACTAAGTGAAAACGTGTTAAATTATTAATTCGATGATTTCATCATTCGCTAAATTAATAGAATTTCCCTTATCCATGCTGCATAAATTTATAGAAATTCAACTGTAAATAAAAAAAAAACATAGAAATTAGAGGGTAGGTGTGGCTAGAACCTAAGGGCAATTATGTAATTGTAGCACCACAACGACCCTCTGTCTCCATAGTCGGTCAAATATATTTCTCTCTCCATTTCTCTTCCATTTTCATATTATATATTTACTTTTTTCTGTAAATTCTGTCACAGTTTTTTGAAAATGGCGCCGCACACCAGAGGTAGCAGGTCCTTCCCGAAAGTGTTGATTGAGAGGGATTCCGACACGGAGGAGAGTTCTTCCGAAGACGACGGCGACGAAGTCCAAAACGCCGCCGTAGAAGAGTCTGAAGAAGAAGAAGAAGATGTAGTAGAGGAGGAGGAGGAGGAGGAGAAAGACGAGCCCTCTACATCGACTAAAATTAGAAGAAAACCCATCACTATTAGCCTCAAAAAAGTCTGCAAAGTAAATCATGAAAAAAAAAAAAAAAAAAACCCTTCAACTATGTGTGTGTGTATATATATATGTATGAGAATTTTATAAATTGGTTTCAGGTGTGCAAGAAACCGGGTCATGAAGCCGGGTTCAGGGGGGCAACCTACATTGACTGCCCAATGAAGCCATGTTTCCTCTGCAAAATGCCTGGTAATAAAATAATATTTATTCGAAATTGCGATAATTTTTCCAAACAGTTTATTTTAATTTTTAGAGTTTTTATTATGTGCTGTGTGGATTTTGAAACCCTTTTGAAATGGGAATTGAAGGGCACACAACGGTGAATTGTCCGCACCGAGTGGCTACGGAATACGGAGTCTCCCCGGCGCCTTTGAAGAGTGCTCATAGTTCGGTGGACTATGTTTTCGAACGTCAAGTTCGGCCTCGTGTTTCTGCGGTGAGGTTTTACTCGTATTGTCTTGATTTATTAGAATCTGCATATTATTCAAGAGGTTCTGTCATTTCGTTCCAGTTGTGACCGATTTTTTTCCTTTTGAAACATCGGCAAGGATGGACGCAGTTCTGCGATCGTAGAATTCTTTACCACGTCGAGTTTTTAGCTGATCATTCATGATTGTGTGGTGCACACATAAATACATTCCGAGTAAATATCAAATTTCCTTAAATATATGATTAGCATTAATCATTCAATATGGGATGAATGTGTGTGATATGAACTACACGATGTAACGGGAAATTAGGATAGAGGAAATGATTTCAGTATCCAATGTGTGATACGACTAACGATTTAAGTTTACAAATTAGTAATTGATGGTTCGTGGCAATCTGATATTCTTTAGAGGAAACACAATAATTTTTTCTCGTTTTTTCACATTTCCATCCATAATAATATTTCCATGTAAAATACTGAACATTGAGTATTACGGTAGAACCTCGATAATTTAATAACCTCGCTTAAATAATAGATTTTTCTGGCTCCGACTCGGTAAAAAACTACTAAATCATTAGTTCGATAGTTTAATATTTCACTAAATTAATAAATTTTTGTTAGTCCCGACTGTATTAATTTATAGAGGTTTAACTGTATATGTATTTTGCTGGGTCGAGCA